GTGTGTGTGTGTGTGTGTGTGCCCGAGAAGGCATACGCATACGCATACGCACCTAATAAATAGCAAGCGAGCCACTGTGATCTGTCCCTCTTGCACACACTGCCATAAATCAAATTTTTGCCTGAACGAAGCACAGATTTCTTTCCAGTCGAATAATTAGCACTGCAGGCATTTCTCTGAAATTCTTCTATCACTTACACAGCACCTAGGTCAAGGGTCAATGCTTACAGAATTAATGCGCACAGTTCCTTGTGTTACACAGTGACTAGGTCGTTGTGCACCAATTAGTTCAAATATTTAATCTTGCATTCGAGTGGCTAGTTACTTAAGTCCTAAATTCACTGTATACTCCACTGTAATGGGTGATTGTCCCTTTTAATACGTGAGGTAAAACTAGCCAGTCTTTGGACATTGAGATTCTCCTCGCAGCTTTTCTAAGTTTTTATGTTACAAACAGTCCGTAAAACACGAATAATCAACCATTCGTTCAGAAAATATATAATTCGAATTTAATTTGGCAGTCTTTAATTTGAATTCGTGAACTTATCTGACTGAAATCAATGCTTCCGATAAATTCCAATATATCTATTGATTTTTTATAACACATTAATTAGTTTTGATTCTTCAAAGCACCACAGAATATGTAATGGTTTCCGCATACTTTTCTGTCACGTAAAATGTTATAAACTAACCGAATGACGTGTTGCTTTGATATTTACATTGCAAATTACTACGGTAGAAAAAACAACTGTTTTAATATCCATAACACAAGCAAGTCAACAATCAAACTGGTTTACTAAATGTTTTCAGGCTGTCATATTATTCTTCACAAATTACTTTTTTACGTGAAAAATGACGTAATAATGCATTGCTACATCTCTTTATTTTTTATTATTATGAGAAATTGAGAAACAGCTGTAATATCATTCAGGAAGTATAAGTTATTAATGCGTTAAAATATTTCGATCGTCTCCAATTAACATTATAATCACTTCTATAGTAGCGACGGCAGTATCTTACTGTATTTTTAGGAACATTCAATAATGAACTTATGCTGTTTCTTACTTTAGAAACAGTAGTAAAACAAAAAAATGTATTATAAAAGTTTTAATACTTAATAAAAGGCAGTGAATTTGTATAAAAAATATCTAAGTTTATCATTATAATGTGACAAATTTGGCTTAATATGTTATTTTTACTTATATTCGAGTTAAACCTTGTCTTTTGTATGCTATTAAGGTTATTACTAACTTGCATGTAATGAATTATAGACTATGTAAAAGTCAAGATTCACCCAAATATCAGAATTTATTTGCATGATAATGTTAAGATTGTATTTGAAAAATCTCAGCTCATTTGCATCGTTTCATAAAATGGTATAAACTAACTTACTAATTAGTCCAATCTTGCCTCACATGTCATAGCAAGTCTTAAGCCATTGTGCAACCTAGTTCAATACTTCTAGTTCAGTCAAAAATCTAACCACAATTTCAAAATTTTGTTACATATTTTTGCATATTTTAACGCTAATGAGGTCATAATTATTGACTTAGTTTTAATTAATTTTTATTGTTCAAAAATTAATTTGAGAGAAAATTTTTACAAAAATAATAATAATAATTTATTTGAAATATATTTAATGTAATTTGAAAATATTACCTTTGTGAATAAAAAACATAACTTTCTAACTTTATAAATCAGCTAATCAGTATTGCGTACTGTTTTATAGTCAAATATGATGTAAATACTAAATTTTACTCTTGTTTTTTAATCTATTCTTAACACATCGACTTTTGTAAATATAAATTTTTAATTTATATAAAATTTAAAATAAGAAGTTTTTTATTTTACATACTGTACTAGTATTTTCTGTATACTGTACTAATTTTGGAATAGTTAATAAAATAGCAGTTTTTGGCTTATTCATGAAGAAGTAGGAATATTGAAGGAAACAATAACAACAACCATAATAGTACTGAAAATAAAAACTGATAAATAAGAATTATAATGAAAATCGGCATCGCAATTGCAACAATCATAAAATATGAATAAATTATCAAAATGTACAACAATTAATCTATGTGATATTTATTTGAAAGGATTAATTCAGAAAATAAAAAATAAAAAGTTGATAAATTATCTAAGAAGGAAATTGAGAGGGATTTATAAATAATAAATCCATATGCAAATATTACAATTAATCCAAAAACTCTATGCATATTTAATTTATTTTACTTTCTGTGATGCAGACGGATAGCAATAACTGAAGTGACATTATTATTATGTGAATAAGTTGCTTGCTTTTTTAATATTATTATAAAAAGTTTTTAGAAATTATTTCTTAAGTAAAGCAAAGTAAAGTTCATTAATTTTCATATGCAATTTGAACGGATATAATTCGTGTAAATGCTTAATTTTTTTTTTTTTGATTTGACAAGTATTAAATCTTATTTTGTCAAAATTACTTAATAACGAATTTTGAGGGTTTTTTTTACAATAAATATATTACATGAAATTGACGAGCATAGTTTTTGTTGACTGTAAAGTATCTGAAAATATTTTTAAATGTAGGTAAAAAAAATAATTTATCAATTAAAAAAATAATTTTACATTTTACACAACCTAAATATCACTTCATTTTTAATGATTAAATAGTATTTTGCATGACATACAGTCTGCAATTAATAATTAGTACAGTCTGGAAATGATAATTAATAATTGATTAAAATTAAACGTTTCAATCACAATTGCAAACAATTTATAAATAGCTTTACAGAGCTGATTTCAAGAAATTCCAAGCACAAAATTAATAAGATCGAGTTAAAATATCAAAATAGAGAAGACATCTTCTATTATCCCTCTTTTTTGAATTCAAATTTAGTCAAATTTCACATAGATTATATATAATTAATTTGGAACATTAATTATTAATTACATTTTTATTTTTTTACATTCTCAATATTTGCGTTAAAGTTGTTCGCAGATGTTGGCGTATTATCGGATTACATATGAAATAGATAATAATACGTATTGCACTGGTAAACATATATACGAAACTAACGGTATCCGAGAATACAGTATGAAATGTACTTGCCATCATCGGATCATCTGGATCACGTAATAATGACGTTTTCGATCTAAATCGAATATGATATATTTTGACTACCGTTTTGAAGTCAATAATTATTATTATTGCATATATCATGAATTTTTTACTAAGCTATAAATATGTGTGAAATATTTACTGTTCTAGATTTTTCTGTGATCTCCTCAGATAAGTTATAAGATTTACTTGACAAATACAAAATCTGTATTCATGTACAATTAAAAAATGGTGTTACACTTTTGCGCAATTTGAAAAGCAATAATATGTTTGAATTTATTGTTTTAGATTAACTTAGTAAGGTATTAATTTGTAAAAATATCAAATATGTATCAAAAAGTAATATGTACACAATGTGCAATTGAATTAATAAATAATTTTTGATACTGTATTTGTGCAGAACTTCAAGGATGGTGCTGTACATGCATATAATTTGAAATAGCAGGTACTGTACTTGCGCACATTTGGAAAGTAACTTTGCATCAGCATTCGTATGCTATTAAAAAAGTATTCCTGGATTTTTGAGCATTTTGAAAATTGATACTGTACAATGGGAAATTCGAATATTACTCCGTATTCGTGAATGAAGGCATTATATGTGTATTAAAAATGTAAAGATATTACCGTATTACTTGGGCACTTTAAAAATAATATTATAATTTTACGTAATTTAAATAAACAATACCAAAAAAGATAAATAACAAAAATACAGTGTCAGAGTTATTTATTAACTTAATTGCACACTAAGTTCACATTACTTTTTTAAGTATCAGATTTATACCTTTCCAAAATAGTAAGAATTAGATGAAGGCTATTACTAATCAAGTAAGTTGTAACAATAGCAAGCATCGTATAAATCGCATCACGAACCGCTTTTGACATATTCCGTAACGGTTTGATTGTTATAATTGGTACTGAAATACTTGAAAATTTAAAATAGCATTAAAAAAATAATTTAAATACTATATCAAGTATATTTGAATATTTAAATATTACTATATTATTACTATATTCGAATACTATAATTTCATTTCATTTTTTTGGAACATTTCAATTTATTCTTATTCAGAACAAAACTATTTTTCCAGACTTACTATTTTAATATCATATGAAATATTTAACACGCCAAAATTCTCTATTTTTCTTTACAAAAAAACAATTATTTTTTAAATGAATTTAAATGAATTTATCCAATTAAGGAATAATGTTTGACTGATAAAATTCCTTTCTTTCAAAGTTAGTTTTTTAATGATTTCTCATTTACTTATTTTAGCTAATTATCAGTAATAGAGCAAATTATCATAAATAATTTAAAGTATTCTAAAACAAATAATAATAAATAATGCAAAAATAAACTTATTAAAGTGTCAAAATTATATACGAAATCAATTTTTAAGTAAATTAATAATACCACGATCTCGGAGAACGTTAACTGATGAAGTCTGTATGGTACATAACGAATTAATGTGATAATCTGATGAGGAAGGATTCCGATTAACTTTGATAACTTCAGCCTCAGCAATATTTGTAATTTCAATCACTTTCCTTTGATTTGAAATAAATGGTGCAGAAATTTGGCTTAATTTTTTATTTGATCGCTTATTAAATCGATGAACTGATAATTTTTTATTCGTTTTAATAAATTCTTGTTTAGTGCAATTTAAATTGTTCACACTTTTTTTCAGTAGCTTGCGAATAATCACCTGAAAAAATATCACTATTTGTTTTAGTGAATTATTTTTAATAATTTAATTTAGAATATTCTATATTCAATTTCCAATAAAAGCAAATAATAAACTTATAATTTAATTTCATAGAAATTTAAGAAAATGCATTAAGTCATCTTCAATAATTTGGTTGCTTTACATTAAATTATAAAATTTTGTGACATAATTTTTCAATTATTATATTTACACGTAAATTTTATACTAAAATATAATTAAAGTTATTAAAAAATTTTTCAAAAGAATACTGAATTCTAATTTAAAAAGCAAAAACAAAACTTACAAAATTTAATAAAACGAGCACAATAAATGGAATGAATGTTTGAGCAATTGAAAGTAAATGAAAATCATAAATGTAATAAATATCACTTTCATGTACCCAATCTGCAAGTCCAGTACTTTGACTACGTAAAAAATCTGTACAGTTCGGGAAATGATATACCTAAATAGTAAATAATTAAAGTTATAAACATTCAAGTACAATTATTTTTATGATTAACTGTATTTATATGACTGAAACGAAAATGATAAAAATCGATTATATTGAGTTTTTTTATATGTGATTAATTAAAACTTCTTGATTAAATAATGTTTAATTTTAATAAAAAATACGATAGTACTTTAAATCAAAATTTTTGATGATCAATTTTAAAAATTAGAAATCGCGCCTTTAACTTTAAAACAGTACTTATAATAAATAGTAACAATACTTGCTATTATTTATTAGTAGTTTTTTTTGAAAAACTACTGACTTATTTTATAGTAAAATTAATTAAATGCAGTCAATCGCGCAGAAAATTCTCACTACTTTTCAAAAAGCATTCATATTAATGAGAAATTATCGCTTGCTTAATCATTATCCTAATAAATAATTCATTGATTACGCGAAATTTTTTAAAATCAAAATTAATATTAAATTATAATTAGCTATGTGATTATTAGTAAATATTAAGTAAATAAATGAGCTTAGAAATTTTATTCTAAGCTATGAAAGATTTAAAACTTCTTATTAACTTTCAAACAAACAATCACGTCATTTAATAATTGTAACTGAATTAATATTTTTCCAAACTATAAAAATTTCAATTGAATATTTTAAAAAACTGAGAGATTAGTAGTCTAAACTTATAAAATCACTTACTGCTTTAGATTTAACTCTAAAACTGCTAGCTATCAAATTAGTACAATTATTTTGATTTTATTTAATTAAAATTATGATGAATGCAACAATTTTTTCTATTTTTGGCCGTTGATATTTTTGTACCGAAACTTTGAAATATTGCTATTAGATAGCTTAGAATATGAATTACTTTAATTATATTTGAATAAAATTATTAAAATTATAGTCTTTGATTATTTCTGACTAAAAACTATTTTCAAGCAATCAAGTTATTGAAAATTTTTGTATACGCGTTAGTTTTACTTTTATTTTTTCAAGAAAAAGAAAAAAAAACATTAATTATAAAATTGTAAATTCAATACTATAATTAGATTATTTGAAAGATAATTGCAT